ACTGGTTTAGCAGCAGCATTAATATTGTGGCCTACAATCTCCGAGCAACTTCATATCTCTCGCAACATCCATCACAACTTGCAAACCGATTGCCCAACAGCTAAGACCGGTCTTCTTGGTGGAGGCGCCTTTTTGTCTCTTGATTCTGCGCTCTTTTGGTTGGTGGCTTTGATGTTAGCTGATAATGCTCGCGAGGATTATTTCCAAGACGCGGATGTTAAGGGCGAGCTGAAAGCAAGTTATGTAGATGATGAAGTTATCAAGAGTAGTGCTTAAGAAGATTGTTCTACTTTCTATTTTGTCATTCTGATGTTGCCAATATGGAATTACTAGTACAAACTTATGTAAAAAACATGATTTCCTGTCTTTCTAATTATAAATATCATTATGGATTCCTTTATTGAAATTGATATTACTGTTGATTTGTTTCTGTTCTGTAAGCTACATAGTAACATCTTGAGTCAGTTATGAGCCTTGAAGAACATAAACTAATGTTCACTTGAATCCTAAGGTTTCTTTATTTAGTTTTTATGTTGTGTTAGAAGCAGGATGTGTATAATTGAAAAAATTGAGTTTGCCACTTTTTGAGCCGGCTATTAAAGTTTAACCAGCTTTTCAAATACACTAGTATCCGTACCCGCGCGTTGCGCGGAGAATAATAAATATAATTTTTCATAAGAAAATATACCTTAGAAAAGACGGTAAATACAAAAAGCATGCAAATGCTATCATGTTTTGGAACTATACGAGGAATTAGAGGAGAAAGGCGGGGAAAGGAAGTTGTTTCGGCTGGCTAAAGCGAAGGAGAGGAAGGCCCGGGATCTGGACCAAGTAAGGTGCATCAAAGACGAGGATGGTAGAGTATTGATGGGAGAGTCCCAGATCAAGCAGAGATGGCATACGTACTTTTATGGTCTTCTGAATGAGGAGGGGGACCGAGATATAGCGCTAGGGGACTTGGGGCATTCGGAGAATCTCCGAGATTTTAGGTATTGCAGGCGCATTAAGGTGGATGAGGTCGTGGGGGCGTTACGTAAGATGAGTAGGGGTAGAGCGACCGGGCCAGATGAAATTCCGGTTGAGTTTTGGAAGTGTGTGGGTCGAGCAGGATTGGAATGGTTGACTGGGTTGTTCAATGTAATTTTTAGGACGAAGAGGATGCCGGATGAATGGAGGTCGAGTACAGTGGTACCGTTGTACAAGAACAAAGGTGATATCCAGTGTTGTAACAATTATAGGGGTATCAAGTTACTTAGCCATACCATGAAAGTCTGGGAGAGGGTGGTGGAGGTGAGGGTGAGGAAGACGACGTCTATATCCGACAATCAGTTTGGGTTCATGACGGGCCGCTCCACTACGGAGGCTATCCACCTTATTAGGAGGTTGGTGGAACAGTACAGGGATAAGAAGAAGGATCTGCACATGGTGTTTATTGACTTGGAGAAAGCGTATGATAAGGTTCCTAGGGAGGTGCTCTAGAGATGTCTTGAGGCGAAGGGCGTGCCGGTAGCCTACATACGAGCGATCAAGGACATGTATGATGGAGCTAAGACTAAGGTTAGGACGGTGGGAGGCGTCTCGGAGCATTTCCCGGTTGTTATGGGATTACACCAAGGCTCAACGCTTAGCCCGTTCTTATTTGCCTTGGTGATGGATGCTTTGACACACCATATTCAAGGGGAGGTGCCATGGTGTATGTTGTTTGCTGACGACATAGTTCTAATTGACGAGACGAGGAACGATGTTAACGAGAGATTGGAGGTTTGGAGACAGACTCTCGAGTCTAAGGGTTTCAAATTGAGCAGGTCTAAGACAGAGTACCTGGAATGCAAGTTTAGCGCTGAGTCGAGGGATGTAGGCGGGGACATGAGGCTTGGGCCACAGGCCATCCCCAAGCGAGATAGCTTCAAGTACCTTGGGTCGATGACTCAGGGGGATGGAGAGATCGACGAGGACGTCACTCACCGCATAGGGGCGGGCTGGATGAAATGGAGGCTTGCATCTGGAGTCTTGTGTGACAAGAAAGTGTCACCGACACTCAAAGGTAAGTTTTATAGAGCTGTAGTTAGACCGGCCATGTTGTATGGGGCAGAGTGCTGGCCGGTTAAGAACTCCCATATCCAGAGGATAAAAGTAGCAGAGATGCGGATGCTGAGGTGGATGTGCGGGCACACTAGGATAGACAAGATTAAGAATGAAGATATTCGGAAGAAGGTGGGCGTCGCCCCTGTGGATGACAAGATGCGGGAAGTGAGGCTCAGATGGTTCGGGCACGTGTAGAGGAGAAGCCTCGATGCACCGGCGAGGAGGTGTGAGCGGTTGGCCGTGGTGGGTACGAGAAAAGGTAGAGGGAGACCTAAGAAGTATTGGGGAGCGGTGATCAGGCAGGACATGGCTCGACTGCTCATTTCCGAGGACATGGCCCTTGATAGGAAGGCTTGGAGGTCAAGCATTAAGGTTGTAGGATAGGGGTAGTAAAGCTTTCCTTACTTCATTCCGGGGGTGAGGCGGGGTTGGATTAGGATTGGCCTTAGATGGCTTACAGTTTATGTTAGACCCATACTATTCTTGTTGTTTGTCTTAGCCCCGAGCCTTAGATTATGGTCAATGTTATTGCATGTCATTCATCTTTCGGTTTTTATGTTTCTGTTACTATTAAGATTTCTACTGGAGTTACTAATGAATTCTCTCCTCTTGGTTTTTCTTACTTTATTTTCGACTTTCTGAGCCGAGGGTCTATCGGAAACAGCCTCTCTGCCCCTATCGGGGCAGGGGTAAGGTCTGCGTACACATTACCCTCCCCAGACCCCACTATATAGGATTTTACTGGGTAGTTGTTGTTTGTTTAATGTAACAGATATTCGTATAATAAAGTAGTAAGAAAACACTACAAAAAACATACCCAACTTGGCCTACACCTGTTCAACTTATTTGGTTTAGCAAGCAATACCCAAAAAACAGATATGATAATGATCTGTAGCAGAGATAATTAACAAAGCAAACTCATAGCAACACTCTAAATCAAGTCAAATTAAACCATTCCCGTTTAAAAGTTAGTGGCTTCAAGAATGCACTATAAAAGTTTGATCTGGTGAATACAGAGAAAATAGGGAATGAAATCAAATTATTAAGATTGCCAACTCATTGTTCACATCTGCAGCATCTATGTCCACTATCTGCTATTTTGGTTTTTTACGCAGACCACATGAAGCCCTTAAAAAGTTGATAAAAAAACAAGCATTCCTCTAGTAGTATACTGATACAATAATGTAAAACACAAAACAATAAGAACTATGACTCAATCAAAAACCTTGTTTCTAGTGGTGAGAGTTGAAGTAAGAGTTGTTGAGTGTTTTAATATGTCTTTATCAGCCTTCTTCCTTTGCATCTTCTCCTTCAATTTTTTCTCGAGTAACAGGACTAATTTCAATAATGTCCTCAGGTTTGGCTTAACTGTGGCTTCAACTCAATAAGAACTGTGTACATTCAAAACCTTTAAAGTTAAAAAAAATACTCCAGATTTATTGAGAAAGATATCCTTGCAGATATATAATTATATTTAATGTTGAAGGACAAATTAAAAGTCAACGATATATTTATCTCGCATTCCTTCTCTCTGTCTATGCCTTGATTAGTATTGAAGTCAAGGTCCTACCAAACATTAATAAATAAATGAGTTAGAAATTAAACTACAAAATATGCAATTTAACAGAAAGTCGCAATTTAAATATGTTATGAAGTTTGTGAGTGAAGATCACATACAGTTAAGGCATTTGAATGTGCAGCCTGATCATACTTCCTTATCAATTGCTCCTCATCTGTAAGCTTGACAACACTGTAAACTTCAGCTTGCAACCGAATGTTCGAGCTCTTGACAATAACCTTAAACATAAATTTTCTTTGAAGAATATTGTTCAACTCAACTGGATAGTAATGCTCATCAGCAGCGCCAGTATTCTAGAAATAAAGTTTGCGTTAGAATTTTACAAATAACAAATAAGAATTTAATTAGTTGATATACCTCAAGTAATCCTTCCTTCAATTCATTTGCGGACTTGCCTATGAGAAATATGGCTTCGCGGTCCCAAAGCACTAACCTTTACCATAGAAAATGCAGTGAAATATCGGAAGAAAGTGCTGCAAGCAGCTCCAAACAACATAGATGAACATATATTTGACATCCCTGAACAATGAATTACTATTGGTTTACACAACTTGATAAAAGAATGAGTAATCAATTGATACTCACCGAAAGGAACATAAGAGAAATTTAAATTTTCATTTAGCGAGTAATACCCTATTGCAACTATAATTTGGACGAATTTAATTTATCAGCACTTCAAAAGAAGATATTTTTTCTCCACTAATGCTATCACAAATTTGAAGACAAAGGCATAAATTCTAAATGATTCACAAAATACGGTAGGAATAGAAATAACAGAGAGAAAATGAGATGAAAATTAAAATAGAAGGGTTGAAGAACAGAAAATATGATAGGGATAATAGAGGAGTATTATTTGAAATGGACGGTCTTTCACTTTAAGGAAATAAAAAGGAACTAATTGATTCATATTGTAATGCATCAGTAAGTAAAAGTTATAAGCTGTCAATTCACAAATCTTTAATCAGATTTAAATGTGTGATGAAACCAAAATCAATCGGAAGTTGATTTAGTATTAATTTTACCAGTAGAGTCTTTGTCTTCTTTTGTTCCACCTTCGACAGCGGAGCAAGTTTTATTTTTTAAACCTCAACATCCATTGCGAGAACTCTGTTGTAAAAGGGCAGAGATGATTGCAAGTTGTTTGTTAGTATGTTTAAACCATAAGAATTTATTAGTTCAAAGTAACTATAGTAACAACTAATATTGATGAGATAACATATAAGCATACCAATTGAAGTTGTCAACTATTGTTTCTGAAGCTTATTTCCAATATGGTTTAGCAAAGACAGAAGCATGAGAAGCAAAAATGTTATGAACTTTCAGATCAGATTTGCTTTCATTCTCCAAGTAAATTACGGAAAACTTCTTTGTAAACTACATTTATTGCTTCATTTGAAATTTCTCCATCATCGTCATAAACCAAAATCTTTAATCTCTTTCTTTTTGTAACCCGTGATAGAGCAACGTAAAGCTGGCCATGTGTGAAGACCGGTTTCTTCAAATATAACCCAACATGAGATAAAGATTGTCCTTGACTTTTGTTTATAGTCATTGCAAAAATTACAACTATTAGAAATTGCCTTCGCTGGAACTTAAAAGATATTCTTGCATCAGATGGAGTTAATGACATTCTCGGAATGAAGACCTTTTGTCCAGCCATATTTCCCGATAAAACTTTTGCTTCGATAACCCGATTTCCGAGTCTAGTGATGATTAATCTTGTTCCATTACATAGCCCTGAAGATGGGTCTGTATTTCTCAATAACATCACTGGGACACCCACTTTCAAAGTGACAACATGATTTGGAATTCCAGAACACTTAATAGTGTTTAGGAATTCGGGTGTATGTACGTGTTCCAAACCTGTAAAAGCATCGTCTGACATGCAAATTGTATCGAAACTCAAAAATGTTTTTGGTTGACTTTGGTTTAGTGAAACCATGTATTCGTTGATTGATTCAATCATGTCAAGAGTGGGAGCAAGAATTCCTCTTTGTTGTAGGTATGTTATATCACTGCAATGACTTAAAAAACCTGGATATGTACTATCCACAAGCGCAGAAATTGGATCGCCACAATTATTTATGATAAGATCATCAGGAATGTGAACTTTTTCAATACCACCAACAGAATTTCCAATCATACCATCACCAATTGCTAAAATCCAATTAGAAAATTGTCTTAGATCATTCAAATGTGAATCCACCTGATTTCCTTCCAACCTCATATTTTTTGTTAGCTTTAAGACATGACAGTGATTCCACAAATATGAAGAATTAAGGGCAGCATTAACAATATCTTGTCTAGTACCTTTTGGAATGATTGGAAGTAGTTGTCTGAAGTCACCACCAAGAACAATCGTTTTTACTCCAAATGGTCGATCTAAATTGGAAGCATCTTTAAATCTAAGAATATCTCTTAGAGTTCTGTCTAGAGCTTCAAAACAATATCTATGAATCATTGGTGCTTCATCCCAAATAATTAACTTTGTCTTGACAATCAATTTTGACAGAGGAGTACCTTGTTTGGTATTACATGTTGAATCTTCAGTTGCATTGAGTGGGATTGCAAATCTCGAATGAGTTGTTCGACCTCCTGATAACAAAAGAGATGCAATTCCGCTGGACGCAACTGTTAACATAATGTCTCCTTTAGATCTTATGGCAGAAGACAAAGTCCTCCAAATAAATGTCTTCCCGGTTCCTCCATGACCATATAAAAAGAAGAATTCACCTTTTTCCTCATGCACTGATTTGATAATTCTGTCATAAACTAACTTTTGCTCAATTGTCAACTTAGCAAATAATTCTTCATGTTCCTTAGACAAAGAGCACCTATTATAACGTAGTTCTTCGCAGATTAGTCTATTAGTGTTGTCAAATTCTTCTTCATTGAAAACCGGTGTTGGCATTGTTGGAAAATCGTATAACGTTCTTCCGCAACCTTTCAACAAATTTTTCAACTTTTGTAGACAACGATTCTTTAATTCATCATTTGTTAGCTCAGCCTCTAAAATAACAAAAGTATATAATTAATTAATTAATGATAAAAATATTTAGTTTCCATGAGTCATATAAAGAAAAGAGCAAAATGATTTCCTTTAGAAATAATAAAAGCAAATTAATGTTACTTTACTTTATTGGAAGGCTACATCGATTATGTTTCAATCAAAATATATTAATAATTAATCGCTCATAAGTTGCAAGCGTAAATGTAAATCATAGATTATAGTAAGGTTTAATCTGTATGCAAAAAAAATGTAGAAATATTTTAACAATTTTATAATATTTAAATCTTAAGAAGAAAGTCGAATTGTATACCTGGATTATCCAATATTCTTCTTTGTTCATGTAAGATATCATCTGATAATAAAATCCATGTTGCCTCCCAAACACATTCTGGCCGTGACATTGATTTGGATAATAGTAACATACCAAATAATTGCCTAAGATATGATGGCATTCCCCAATTACTTGCCTCCTTTATGGCATCTATATACTCTTTGTCATCATCTAATAAACCCAGTGCATAACATGCATCTCTAAAAGTTAAATGGTCTTGATTGTTAATTCTGCGTAAATCTTCATAACACTTAGGTCCTTTAATGACATTCAACAACATTCGAAGGTAATATTGCTCTCCACTTCCAGGGGGTACAAAGAATATTCTCCCTATTGAAAAAATAGAATTTCTTCTTTTTTCCCACTTTTTTAGTTTTTTATTCCACACAAACTTAAGAGGAAATTCTGCATAAGTTAATTCTCTTGCTTCTTCGTATGTATTATTTGCCTCAAACCAGCTTAAAAACTTTGATTCCCTTATACTTGGTCTATTGGCAACATCATCAATTGGATCATCATCAGAGAAAATAACTGTCTGTTCATTTGGTAGATGAAAGGAAAGTCTTTCTACTGAAGGTTCTCTAAATTGAATTGGAAATTTAAAAATTCTCCAAGCAGCTTCACATGGTGATATGTATCGACAATCATAATACATTTTTATTTCATCAATAGCCGATGAGTCCTCCTCATTCACACTTTGAGAAAAAGCTGCTGTCACACGATCATGACCCTTATTAACGTACTTAAATAAGTACTTGATTGAGCGAGATTGATTGCACCATTCAACATTTATATGTGCACCATACTTCAACAATAAATACCTATTGTGTGGAACCACGTACCTGTTATCCAATTCAATATCTTCTTTCTCGATAGTTCTACCATTGTCCCTTCTTTTATATATAGGATATCCATCTTCATCGATTGTGGTAGTTTCTACAAACTTCTTTGGAAAGTGTTTTGTACATCTACCATTACGCATGCAAGGAGACGATTTTCTAGCAGAACCGCACGGGCCATGCATCATGAAATTCTTCACGGCATTATAATAATACGAATCAACCGATTCATCTGGTATTTCTGCTGAAATTATTTGATCTATATCTCCAACATTTGGATATTTATTATGAAGAAAGAGCAATATGTGTGCATGAGGCAACCCCCGTTTTTGGAATTCTATAGTATATATCACTGCAAAAAATAATAATTTGCGATTGGGGTAATTGCTTGTAATTTATATGTAAGATAAAATGCTTTATTAAATTAGATTATAAATATCATAAGAATTTATTTAAAAAGTTTAATTATATACCTGATTTAACTGGTCCAAAAATTTGTTTCTCTTTCAAATCCTTTATTAAACGATCCAATTTGATTTTGAACACCCTAGATAAAATGTCTGGGCGATCTTCTGGTTGCAAGCCCCTGCTCTTTACAAATCTACTAATTTCAGGCCACTTTGGGTTGCAAGTAAATGTGATGAAGAGATTTGGATATTCAGCCCACTTGCAGATCGCCATAGCATCTTGATAATTTTGAATCATGTATCTTGCACCCCCTGTGAAGCTGGATGAAAGAATTACCCTTTTACCTTGAGAAGAAGGATTTATCTCTCCATGTAAAACTGCATCTTCTAATCCTTTATACATATGAGCTCGCAACTGTTTTTGATGAGTTCTAATATACTTTAACCTAGACGATTCAACCATTGTAAATCCATCGACCAAGAATTGTTGAAATAATCGTCTTGAGTTTACAATTGTTGGTACTTCGCCATTCCTTTCTTGAATTTTGTATGCAAAATATTCACGCATGCTAACAAAATGCCTTCCTCCACTTGATTCGTCATTTCCATTTAAAGGAATGTCTTCCCTATAACCATCTTCACCAAATGGGAACAATAAAGGATACTGAAGACCTAAATAGGTAGCATTCAACTCATTTATCCTTTGTAGATGTCCATATTGGGTTTCAACGATGATGTCTCGGTCACATCTAAATACATCAAAATCTCCAACTACCAAAGCAGCAACCTCTGAAATTGTTGGTAAGTTATATCTTCTTCCATCATAGTTCCGTTTTTCTATCAATCTGAGTCTAAAATTGGAGTGAGTATCTTCCTGAAATTTGTCTCTGACCATTCTAAATGACTTTGTCAAAACATTCTGCTCATCAAGTATTTGTTTTAGATCTTGAACAATTTCAGCATGAAGTTGGTTTATTCTTTCACCACGACTGCATAAAAATAGGTTTTATAAAATTGATCTAAGTTTTTTTTTGTTAGATTATTCATGCATATATAAATTTAGAATAATTGAATACTAACCCCAGTGCATGAATTCTATTCTGAACTTCGTTTTCTGTGTCGTATATATATAATTGTGCAAACTTGGGGGTGGATCCTTCGGGAGGCAATAAACTCCCGATTTGATGATAGTTTTGTCCAGATAATTTGAATGTTCTTGGCCCCTTTGTTTGGTTGACAGAAGCATCAACTTTTCCTCCCATTGAGGTAAATGAAAACATTGAGTTATATCTAATATTATCTCTGAAATGGTTACTTTTTGGACCTAGATAAAAGTATTTGTTGGTGAATCAATATTTATTCATATATTGAAGATACTATTGAAGTATGGTAAAAGTAGATTTTCTTGTTACCTGATCCGAATAATAAGTGTTTTAAAATTGTGGGAGGTTCTTTTGGCTTTGGTAGGTGTATCTTTCCATGATTACAACACAAAGAGAACTCTGGTTTTTTAGCTTTGACATTCTTGTTGATTCTTTCTTCGTACCAGAAGTAAGCACCACAATGTTCACATTCGTATGTAGGATCGCCTATATCGCAGTACTCTATGAATAAAAGAAGCAAATGTAAGATTAATGTCAAGGTGTTATGTTATGGTATGCCTACTTATTGTATATACATATAGAAATAATAAATATGCATACCTTCATTGTCAATAATTGCATATCCAACATCAGGCTCTAAATAGTATTAAAATCATATTAAGTTAGCCATATAAATTGATAAGCGGACATGAATGAATCATTGTTTGTGTTAAGATAGACATACCTTCATACTCGTCTTCATCTTCAGTGGCATCATTATTTTCTGCGATTGTTTTCACGTATTATTACGTTAAGAATTTAATCAAACTACCAGTATTTTGAATATTAGTATAAATGTAGTTTATTTGTGTAATTTAATAGCTAAAAAATTTATTGATTAAAAACATACCCGGTACATCACCATCAATATTGACATCCTCAAGTTCTAATAATAAGTTATAATAAAATGCCGTTAGTATATATAAACGATTCATGTTATATAAATAATTTTATTTATAATAAGAACCTTGCAGTAGGGGTAGCTCATAAAAATCTGGTAGAAGATAATTTCTCTGCACATTTGAAGTTGACAAACCAAATTGCAAATGTTTCTCTTGAGGTAAATTTGGATATCGTGCTTGAGATTGAGACGATGAAGCGTGTGCACAACTCTCTAAAGGTGTATAATGTAATCATGTGAAATGTTGACGAATTGTTATGTCTGTTAAAAGTTGTGTTGCCTTTTATTTTCCAAAAGCATCCCCTCTGATAGTAGCAGGACAAATAAAGTCAGTAAACCATAAAACATACAAATCAGCTAACTAAAAGAAGTGGAATAAAATATCAGCAAGATAACATTAAACCAACATTGGCTAATACAGCCATTCATGACACGCATAAGGGACTGTAAAATTGCAGTAAATGAATGCCTAAAATCTATAATTGAATAACTTTGATTTTATAAACATATCTACTAATTTTCTAGCCAAACCTTTCTCTCCACAAGTACATATCCACATATTAAATTAAGTGTCGTTGCAGTTGTAAGCTTTATTTTCTCAGTCATCTCATGAACTAATCTCCAGATTATCTTGAATTCCTAATACTCTGCAAAAATATTCATTATAAGACGGTACTGATTTGATGTATTCTAGTAATTTCATTATTGACCAAACCATAAAAGGAACTTGTATCCTAGCTTAGCACACCTATTTTTCTTCCCGTTATTTATAGTTTTCATATTGAGAGCTCTCATCTTTTATGAACAACGTTTACATCCCAAACACTAACGACAAAATGATGATTAGTTTGTTCAAAAGATCAAGAACCTTGTGATGTTGCAAAGCGTAGTTGCTGCAAAGTTCAAATCAATGTATGTTTAAGAAACTTAAGGATTTAATCAAAAATTTTGGGTAGAATAAGCAGGCAGGTACAAACGCAAATCAACTATTAGCACGAACGTTTAATAATACAAAGGCAGAACTTAAAGATTTCAAAATGATTCAGATATCATTACACACGCGTGAAGGCGTTTCACTTTTTTCTAGCCTGCAAAAAAAAAAATAGAATGTCGGGAACTCAATGCTTGTGCCATATTCCCCCCTTGGAAAAACAGGACATTTGATAAGATTTGAACCTGAGCTTTCGACACAAATATAATTCTCGATATAATCGCCTATTACTCGACTCGTCTACATTACATTAGATCACAGGAGATTATTCGCGCTTTTAGTTGCATTGTAAACATTGTATAGCTAAGTTTAATTCTGATATTAATTTCAATTTCTTTCTAATCACTCTAGCTAAGTTTCTTTTGTATCTACATAATAGAAATGTCCTAATTAAAATCGGTGAGCCTCATGACTACAACAACAACAAACCAGTTTGATCCCAACAAGTGGGGTCTGGGGAGGGTAGTCTGTACGCAGACCTTACCCCTACCTAATTCAGGTAGAGAGGCTGTTTCCAATAGTTCCTCGGCACAGGAAGGGCAAGAAGAAGAAGAGGAAAGCAAGGGAGGAAGAAAGATGGAAGATTAAAAAAAAAAGGGAAAGATAAAGGATAAGTGGCACCAAATAATAGATACAGGGAATACAATACCTGGGGCGAACAAAACCACATAACATAATAAAAAACTAAGAATATGAAGGGACATGCATACTACAAAGACTATCGGTGAACAACTACAAACTACCAACTAACCTTCTACCTTAATCCTTGACCTCCACACTCTCCTATCAAGGGTCATGTCCTCGGTGAGCTGAAGCAGCGCCATGTGCTGCCTAATCACCTCTCTCCAATACTTCTTAGGCCTACCTCGACCTCTTCTCAAACTCTCCATGGCCAACCTCTCACACCTCCTAACTGGTGCATCAATGCTTCTTCTCTTAACATGTCCGAACCATCTCATCCTCGACTCCCGCATCTTGTCCTCCACGGAGGCTACTCCCACTGTAACGACCCGGCCGGTCGTTTTTGAAATTTACGCCCCGATCCCCTATTAACTATTTCCCCTAAGTTCATTTCCGCTATTTTGGTTTGCCGGGACGTTCGGTGTTGAGTTTCAGAGAGTTTTGGGACACTTAGTCCCTAAGAGAGCTTAAGTGTTGGACAATGGTCCGTAGTTGGAACACTATGAAGACGGCCTCGGAATGAAAATCCGATGGTTCCATTAGCTCCGTTAAGTGATTTCGAGGTTGGGAGCGTGTTCGGAATGAATTTTAGAAGTCCGTAGCTAATTTAGGCTTGAATTGGCGAAGTTAGTATTTTGGCGATTTTCGGTTGATAGGTGAAATTTTGATCTGAGGGTCGGAACGGAATTCCGAGAGTTGTTATAGCTTCGTTAGGTGATTTGGGATATGTGTGCAAAATTTCAGGTCATTCAGATGTGTTTTGGTTGGATTTTTGATCGAATGCGTGTTTTGGAAGTTTTAGAGGAACTTAGGCTTGAATTCGATGTAATTTGATGGTTTTGGCGTTGTTTGAGGTGTTTTGAGGATTGGAACAAGTTTGAATAATGTTTTAAGATGCATTGGTGCTTTCAGTTGAGGTCCCGGGGGCCTCGGGTGTGTTTCGGGTTGTATTGCGCTCTTATTTGATGTTTCAACGCCGTATCTTTGGACCTAAAGGGGTACCATATTAAGTAAATGAGCTCAAAATTAGGTTTTTATTGAACCATTAGATCCTTATCATAATTTCGGAGCCATAGCAAAAAGAATCGTCGAATTTGGACATCGTATGAGGGAGTTATGCTCATTTCCGTGTCGAGAAAGTGCTGGTTGCTGTCATAACCGCAGAAGCGGAAAATTGCCTCAAAAGCGGAAATTTTGCCGCGGAAGCGGTACCGCAGAAGCGGAAAATATCCGCGGAAGCGGAAAATTTTCCGCAGAAGCGAAAAAAAAGGGCCTGGGCAGAGAACTTAAGTTCTGAAAATGGGACTTCGTTCCCATTTTCCATTTTTGACTTCTAGAGGTCGGTTTTGGGAGAAATTTCGAGGGGTTTTCACGAGCAACGATTGGGTAACGATTCTCTACTCTCTTATGCTTAATAACTACTAATCTAATCATGATTTCCTTCGTATTTTCGGATTTTTGAATGAAAAATGGGTCAAAATCCTTAGACTAAATTGTTGAGTTTTGAGTGGGTATTTGACATCCGATTTGAGATATTTTTATATGGGTAGACTCGTGAGAGTACGAGGGTTCTGAAAATATAAAATTTATCCGATTCCGAGATGTGGCCCGGAGGGCTATTTTGTCTATTTTACACTAATTTCGTCGTTTTAGCTTAGAATTTAATTGTAGAATCAATTACTTGAATTATTATTTACAATATGCAATTTAATTGAATAGATTTGAGCCATTTGGAGTCAGATACTCGTGGCAAGAGCGTGGTTTTAGGTTGACTTGCACTTGTTCGAGGTAAGTGGCTTGTCTAACCTTGTGTGGGGGATTTTGTCCCTTAGGATGTGATATTTGGTAATTGATGCCTTGTACGTGAGGTGACGAGCGCGTACTTGAGCTAATTGTTGAAAACCCGATTTTTTACTTAAAATACTTGAACTGAGTTTCTTTCGGAATTGCTTTATTCTGCTTGCTATTATAGCCTGTGCTAGTATAGAAAAGCATGTTTAGTTGATCCAAATTGCCTATTTGCTTAATTTGCCTTAATTGTAATTACGTGGAGCATGTTAGGCCAGAATTATATGTTGCATTGTATTGTTGTACTTCAATTTCTGAATATTCTCTGATTTTGGTTGCGCATTTACATTGGGGCTACGGATGCGGGATTCCGGTAGCTCCCCCCTTTGTTTGTTTACTTTGGGACTACGGGTTAGATTCCCGGGAGATCCCCCTGCACATTTACTTTGGGACTACGGGTTAGATTCCCGAAAGATCCCCAGCATATTGATAGTTGGACTACGGGACGGTACCCCGGGAGATCCTTCAGATATATTCATACGGTGGACTACGGGACGGTATCCCGGGAGCTCCTCGGACAGATTGATAAAATGGAATACGGGACGGTATCCCGGGAGATCCTTCAGATATATTCATACGGTGGACTACGGGAGGGTATCCTGGGAGATCCTCATTATTTGTGTTGGTATTGAGCTGTTTACTCTGTGTTATCTTATTTTCTGTGTATAAATTGTTGTTTTGTGTAATTCGATTTACTCAATACCTGTATCTCATTATTTCTGTTTATTTCATACTGTTGTCAACCTTATTATTTTATTTTATCTCAGTAGGGCCCTGACCTTCCTCGTCACTACCCAACCGAGGTTAGGCTTGGCACTTACTGAGTACCGTTGTGGTGTACTCATGCCCCTTCTGCGCATGTTTTTCATGTGCAGCTCCAGGTACCTCCACCCAGGCGTACTATCCTCGCGGAGGAGAGATCTAGCAGAGACTTTGAGGTATATCTGCCACGTCCGTAGACCAGAAGTCTCTATCTTATTCCAGCTTTAGTATATGACCTTCCTTTCTTTCGGTTGTGTAGACATTCTGGAGTTAGAGCAGTGTATTTCCTTTCTATTAGCCTGTGTTTCCCGTGAGTTTCCGGGTTTTGGGATTGAGTTGTAGACTTCCGCATTTCTTTGAGTTGTATAGGCCGAGCGGCCTTATATACAACTATTATTTTACATATGTTCAGTTTTGATTAATTATTTTCGCGAGTTATATTGAATTTCCGCATTGTTAGGCTTACCTAGTTGTAGGAACTAGGTGCCCTCACGACATGTTCATGGAGGGTGAACTGGGGTCGTGACAAGTTGGTATCAGAGCTATAGGTTCATAGGAGTCACGGAACACAGGCCGGTTTATTAGAGTCTCGCTGATCGGTACAGAGACGTCTGTGCTTATCTACGAGAAGCTATGTAACTGTTAGGAAAATTTCAACTTCATTTAATTCCTTACCGTGCGTCATTTATTCAGTTTGGAACCNCTCAGCCCCATACAACATAGCCGATCGAACCACCACTCTATAAAACTTACCCTTAAGTCTTAGAGGCACATTCCTATCACACAAAACACCGAAAGCGAGCCTCCACTTCATCCATCCCGCTCCAATGCGATGCGCGACATCTTCATCAATCTCCCTGTTACCCTGGATAATAGACCCGAGATACTTAAAACTCGCTCTCTTGGGGATAACTTGAGCATCAAGCTTAACCTCTACGTCTGCATCATGGGTCCCGTCACTAAACTTGCACTCCAAGTATTCCGTCTTGGTTCTACTCAGTTTGAAACCTTTAGACTCCAAGGTCTGTCTCCAAACCTCCAACCTCGCGTTAACTCCGCTACGCGTCTCGTCAATCAACACTATATCATAAGCAAATAGCATGCACCAAGGCACCTCCCCTTGGATGTGACGCGACAATACATCCATCGCCAAGGCAAATAAAAATGGGCTAAGAGCCGATCCCTGGTGCAACCCCATCACCACAGGGAAATGCTCTGAGTCACCACCCCAAGTCCTCACCCGAGTCTTAGCATTATCATACATATCCTTAATCACTATTCCACTAAATTAAACTATCGCCTAATATTTTTTGTCTTTTCAGATTTTTAGATGAAAGAGATATAGATCATTAATTAAGAAAATTGAACATAGTCAACAACTTTAAGTCACCGCATCTCTAAAATTAGTAGTTCAGTTAAGTTAATTTAAACACTACAACATATATCACTTCTGCAACGTACATGACGATTAATTTTTTCAAAAGAACACATAAAAATTTACTTAACTAATAACTTATGCAAGTGTACGGTCGACATTGATAGAGCTTTTGAGACATCCAATAGCCACAAAAAATTTAAAGAATTACGTGTGGCAATTAGCCCAAGGAAAATTAGAGATAACATAAGAGGAGTTAGGAAATATGTAGTATTTGGAAGTAGTGAACAAAGAGCCTGTAAGCAGCAGTCAGGCAAATCTGCAAAATAGTGGATAAAAGTTCATACCATTATTTTCCGAACAATATTTCGGCCGTTTCTGCTTGCGTATGTTCATCCTATTTTTTCTTGCGAGCTTCTTCTCTTCTTCCATGTTAAACTGAGTAGATACTGACTTAGGTGTGAGAAGTTGAAAAGCCGTGTGTTGAATGCAGTTGACAATACAGGGCATATACTGCGCCTCTTTTTCGCTTTAAATGGTGTATTTGTATTTCATCGTATTTTTTTAAAGTAATTCTATATTTTAATATAAATCCCAGTCTTTTGTTTTTCTGAATACAATAATATTGAAGTTGGGTTTTGGTGTGTTTTAATGGTTTACAACACAACGTAAATAGGATTAGATCTGTCTACTGATTTTGAGGAGAAAGCAATAGTGTATTTAAAAAAGTTGGTTTTCTTTTGCTTTATTTTGTGATTTTTGCATTTTAAGACCTTTTTTTCCTTTAACTTATCTTTAATATGAGAAGCTAAACTTTTCTGCTCTGGTCCTGGTCTCGTAGTAGTGACTCTCGCTTCGCTGTCCAGGACTTTTCTGGTCTCTTCTGCTCCGATCCCGGTCTCGCGAAGTGACCCTCGCTTCGATGTCCAGGACTTTTCTGGTCTCTTATGCTCCGGTTCCGGTCTCGCAAAGTGACCCTCGCTTCGCTGCTTCATTTACAAATTTGTTGCCTAAATTCTGCATTTAACATTTTCTCTTTTTTTCGTTACTTTTCAATTCTTTGCATTTTTTTCTTTAGTGTTCCTTTGTAATGTTAAACTTTAATCCTTATATCTCCACTAATTAAACACATGCATTTAAGCCCCAAATAAGCAGCCACCAAAGAACCAAGCTTTTCAAGTTCCTGAACAACAGGCTATTCTTGTTCACTGATTGATCATGATCAGCAGGTGATAATGATTTTAGTAAATGCAGATTTGTCTAGTGGAACCTGTACAGATTGAATTTGACATATCAAAGTATTAAGTAGCCTCTCAAATCTCAGCCAAAAGAAACGTTTGATAAGGAGTGGCCCCAAACAGTCCCAGCTTCTTTGTTTCAGAAATATACACTGTCAAGAATGAAAGATTAAAATACACCTTGAGTGTCATCACTATAATCCATCTATAAAAAGAAAATACAGAGAGTTCTTCTAATATTCCTTTATGCATCCATAATGTGACGACCCGACCCGTCGTCATGTGAGTTACTGCCCCGTTTTCCCCATTTTCTGCTTCTTTATGCTTCATTATAAGAGTCTTGTGTGAACGAGTTGATTTGGGTTGGTTTTAGAAGGAAATGAGACACTTAGTCTCTTTAAGGAAGGTTTGGTTTGGAAAAGTCAACCGGATGTTGACTTATGAGTTAGAGGGCTCGGATGTGTTTTCCGGTGATTTGGTTAGCTTCGGGGGATGATTTGTGACTTAGGAGCATGATCGGAAGTGATTTTGGAGGTCCGGTGTAGAATTAGGCTTGAGTTGGCGAAGTTAGTATTTTGGCGAATTCCGGTTGATAGGTGAGTTTTGATCCGAGGGTCGGAATGGAATTTCGAGAGTTGTTGTAGCTTTAGGTGATTTGGGATGTGTGTGCAAAATTTCAGGTCATTCGGATGTGTTTCGGTTGGGTTTTTGATCAAATGCGTGTTTCGGAAGTTTTAGAAGAATTTAGGCTTGAATCCGATGTAATTTGATGGTTTTGGTGTTGTTTGTGGTGTTTTGATGATTGGATCAAGTTTGAATGATATTTTAGGATGGATTGGCACTTTTGGTTGAGGTCCCGGGGGCCTCGGGGTGATTTCGGATGGCCATCGGGATGAATTTTTGGACTTGTGTTATTGCTGAGTTTTGCTGGTTCTGGTATTTCCGCATCTGCCAAAATAGGACCGCAGATGCGGTGAAGGGCATCGCAGGTGCGGATTTTGGCTATTGGGGGATTTCCGCAGAAGCGGATGATTTTCGCAGAAGCGGATGATTTTCCGCAGAAGCTAGAGTCCGCAGATGCGGACCTTGACCGCAGAAGCGGTCCTGGCTAATAGTGGAACTCCGCAGGAGCGGAATAATTTCCGCAAAAGCGGAAACTGCAGAAGCGGTTTATTGATCGCAGAAGCGAAAATGTCTGGACAAAAAAAGGGATTTAAAGTTTCATTATGTTCGGCGAGCTAAGGTATTTTCCTCCATTTTTGAACATCCTTAAGAGCTTTTGGACGAGAATTGAAGGGGATTTTGACTGGGATTGATTGTAGGTGAGTTCTATAATACATGATTTAATGGTAGAATCAACCTAGAAATTCATTAAAATTTATCAAAAAGGGGGAAGAACTAGGGCTTGAGTTTTGGTATTTCAAATTGGGTTTTGATGGGTCATTTGTGCTCGGAGTTGGGAATTCTTGATATGTATAGACTCGTGGCAAGATAAGGAATCCGTTGATGTAAAATTTGCTGGAATTCAAGAAGTGGGCCCGGGGCTCGGGTCTTGCAAATTTCGTGATTTTCGATTCTTTTCGAGTGGGTTATGTTCCCTTAGCCTATTGTGATGTATTCGTTATGGTTTTGATCAGATTCGACGCGCGAGGAGGCCGATTTGAGAGGCAAGGGCATAGTGAGCTAGGATTTTGGCCGACTTGAGGTGAGTAATGATAGTAAATGATATCCTGAGGGTTTGAAACCCCGGATCTGCACACATAGTGCTATATTGAGGTGAAACACGCGCTTAATGACGAGCGCGGGGTTGTTTACTATTGGGGATTGTGACTTGGTCCGTCCCAACTTATTTTTTTTACCGCGTAATTGACTGAGATGTGTTTATTATTAACATAACTTGGGCCTATTGCCATATTTTGGGCTTCATGCCGACCACTTGAATCCTTCGTGGACTTTTATCACTGTTTCCTCACTATTTTGATATACTACTTGAACTCAGTCCTGTTGAATATACTGTCTTACAAACTCAGTCGCTTTAATTGAACTTTGAGACTTAAATGATATTCCCACTGCTATTTGGGCTGAGCACTACTATTTTATTGATGCCCGAGGGGCTTATGATGTTTTCTGGACTGAGTGAGGTCGAGGTCCGTGTGTGAGGATATTATGAGTGATGTGAGAAGGCTTTCAGGCCTTAGGAGTGATGTGAGAAGACTTTCAGGCCTTATGAGTGATGTGAGAAGGCTTTCAGGTCTTATGTTGATATGGCGCTTGGGCCGTAAGGGGCCCCTCCGAAGTCTGCGCACCCACACTGGGCGCGGGTACCTATATGATCTGAGAGTGAGCCCGAGGGACTGATATTATGCTGAGTGACTGAGAGTGAGCCCGAGGGGCTAATGCTATGCGAGTGACTGATAATGAGCCCGAGGGGCTGACACTGTTCTGAGCGATTGATATTGGGCCCGGGGGGCAGATTCCTACTCACTATTTACTTGTTGTTTTACCTGTTTTTAAAAGGAGATTTCATTTGACTCTTTACTGTTTTACTGCTTTAAGTGACTCACTGCCTGATATATAGTTGCCTTGTGCACTTATGTGTTTTCATGCCTTCGGTTATTATTTATTATTATTACTCACTGGGTCGGAGTACTCACATTACTCCCTGCACCATGTGTGCAGATTCAGGCATAGCAGAGTCCGCACCTGAGCGCTGATTCCTTTCAGACCAGGCGGTGATTTGGAGTTACGAGGTAGCTGTTGACGTCCATAGCCCCTTGTCTCCCCTATCCTCTATCATTTATGTTTTCTTCAGACTATTGTACCAGATTTCATACTTTGTAGACTTATAGAAAACTCTGTAGTAGCTCATGACTTGTGACACCCCAGTTTGGGCCGTGTCGGGATGGTTTCCCTTGGTATTATCATTGTTCCGCATTATTGGCTATATTAAGCATGTGTTAGAATTGTTAATGTTAATTAATTGCTTTAAACGTGGTGTTTGCGTTGTTCTGGCTGGCCTTGTCTTCACGAGAGGTTCCATCACGACCGGGTTTGGGAATTGGGTCGTGACAAGTTGGTATCAGAGCCTAGGTTACTAGGTCTCGCGAGTCATGAGCTGGTTTGGTAGAGTCTCGTGGATCGGTGCGGAGACGTCTGTACTTATCCTCGGGAGGCTGCAGAACCTTTAGGAAAACTTCACATTCTTGAAATTCTTGTCGTGCGAACTTGTTGATCCGAGTACTAAACTTCTCTTTAATTATATTCTCTCACAGATGGTGAGGACACGAGCTACCGGATGTGGCGGACGACCACCAGTGCCACCCACTGAGGCCACCAGAGGCTGCGGACGCGATCGTGGCCGTGGAAGAGGCAGGGCAGCAGGGGCAGTGCCTGTTGATCCACCAGCTAGCCCAGCTCAGGATCAGGCTCCAACAACACTAGTTCAGGCACCAGCTGTGCCCATCGTGATTCCGGGTCTTCAGGAGGCCTTGGCTCAGATTTTGACAGTTTGCACCGGCCTGGCTCAGGCAGTTTCAGCCACCATAGCAGTAGCTACTTCGCAGGCTGGGGGAGGCAATCAGACCCCCGCTGCTCGCACACCTGAGCAGGTAGTGCAGGGATTACAGACTCCAGAGGCACCTCCAGCTCAGCCAGTTGCACCAGTGCAGGAGTTCAGGGTTCCAGCTATGCCTAATGATGAGCAGCGTCATCTTGAGAGGTTTTGTAGGCTCCAGCCTCTGACATTCAGTGGTGTTGAGGGCGAGGCTGCCCAGGGTTTTCATGACAGATGTCAGCGGATGCTCCGCACAGCAGGGATTCTCGAGTCTAGTGGTGTGGCTTTTACCACCTTTCAGTTTACTGGGGCTGCCTTCACTTGGTGGGAGGCGTATGAGAGGCGTAGGCCGACTGGTGCAACACCTTTGACTTGGCAGGAGTTCTCTACTCTCTTCTTGGAGAAGTATGTACCGCAATCCCGCAGAGAGGAGCTGCGCAGGCAGTTTGAGTGGCTACGGCAGGGAGATATGACGGTGTCTCAGTATGAGATGAGGTTTTCGGAGTTGGCTCGTCATGCTGTTTGGATGGTTCCGACTGATCGTGAGCGTATCAGGAGATTTGTTGATGGCCCTAACTACCATCTCCTTGTTCTTATGACTAGAGAGAGAGTGCTGGGTGCTACATTCGAGGAGGTGGTTAATATAGCTCAAGAGAATGAGGCAGTTCGCCGTCAGGATCGAGAGGAGAGGGAGGCCAAGAGGCCTCGAGGTTCTGGCAGTTACAGTGGCGCTCCTTCGAGGGGCCAGTTCCAGCATGGTAGGGGTCGTTCTTTCAGTCCCGCTCAGTCGACTTGTCCCGAGTATCATGGTGCATCTTCAGGTCGTGGTTATCATGGTTCTCAGCAAGGTCAGCCTTCACTCGGCGCTCTTCCAACACGGAGTTCATCTCGTGCCCCGTCTACTCAGGGTTCTTCTAGGCCGAGTGCGTCAGCTAGTCACTCCGGCGCAAGGGGTTCCCTTCAGTCCCATTCTCCAGCACCTGGGAGTTGTTTTGAGTGTGGAGAGTTTGGACATATGTGGAGCCAGTGTCCTCATCGTGCTGCTAGCTCATCTCAGTGGAGGGGTCAGCCCTCGTCTTCTGGTCCAGTTTCTTCAGCACCCGCCCCACCAGTTAGGGGTGAGGGTCAGGCAGCCAAGGTTTGTCTCAAAGGTGGAGGTCAATAAGGCGGTGGTCAGGCTCGTTTTTATGCTCTTCAGGGCAGG